ATATATATATATATATATACACATACATACATACACACACACACAATTACATAAAAGATTACATTAGTATACAAGTAGAATTTAAATGCATATATATTAAAATTCTACATGTATATTTAAGTAATCTTTTAACATAATTATGAGATTTGATTAATTAAAATTTGATTGACATGCCTGACAACACAGGGAGAAAGTGCAGAGAATTTAATTCGCAAGCACTATATTTGACCCTGTAACTCTCCAAGACACCATAAAACCTGTACATAGGGGTACTGTTTTACTCAGGAGACTTTGCTGAACTCAAATATTAGTGTTTCAAACTGGTAAACTGTATTACAACGATTATATTTTAAGTAAAAGTGACTTTTTTGCATTTTTTTCTACATATGAACGGCACTTTTATGGACTATATTATTGTTGTAATATGTTTTACTGTTTTAAAACACTAATATTTGTGTTTAGGGAAGTTTCCCGAGAATAACAGTACCCCCCATGTACAGTTTTTATGGTGTTTTGGAAAGTTAGAGAGTCACATTTAAGGCTTGCATTTCATTTTTTTGACATTGAAATTTGCCAGATTGGTTATGTTGCCTTTGAGAGCGTATGGTAGCCCAGGAATGAGAATTACCCCCATGATGGCATACCATTTGCAAAAGTAGACAACCCAAGGTATTGCAAGTGGGGTATGTCCAGTCTTTCTTAGTAGCCACTTAGTCACAAACACTAGCCAAATATTTTTGGCTTTTTTCCACACAAAAACAAATATGAACGCTAACTTTGGCCAGTGTTTGTGACTAAGTGGCTACTAAAAAGGACTAAACATACCCCACTTTCAATACCTTGGGTTGTCTTCTTTTTCAAATGGTATGCCATTATGGGGGTAATTCTCATTCCTGGGCTACCACACCGTCTCAAAGGTAACATTACTAAACTGGCAAATTTCAATTTGAAAATGGAACGTTCTATATTTGACCCTGTAACTTTCCAAAACACCATAAAACCTGTTAATGGGGAGTACTGTTGTACTCGTGAGACATTGCTGATTACAAATATGTGCATTTTTTTGCAGTAAAACCTAACAGTATTAGGACATTCACAGCTAAAATGTCAGACGGAAATACAAATTTAATTATTATTTTTTATTTTCTCACATTTTTTTTTAATTTTATTCATAATAAATTATGTTCCATATATGAATAGTTAATCATAGATTAAAGCCCTGTTTCTCCTGAACAAAATGATATATAATAAGTGTGGGTGCACTTAATGTGACAGCGGTGAATTACGGTTGAACAGACATATAGCGCAAATTCCAGTTTTTGTTTACGTTTTGATCAGAACATGCACTATTGACTCCGTCCTGAAGGGGTTAAAGGACCACTATAGTGCCAGGAAAACATACTCGTTTTCCTGGAACTATAGGGTCTCTAGTCTCAACCACCCTTAGGATCCCCCTCCCGCTGGGCTCTAGGGGGAGGGAGGGGTTAATCCCTTACCTTTTCTCCACCGTCGAGCTCCCTTCTCACTGTGAAAATCAATGAGACAGCCACTAGAGGCTGGATTAACCCATAGGAAAACATAGCAGTTTCTCTGAAACTGGTATGTTTACAGCAGAAAGGGTTAATCCTAGATGGACCTGGCACCCAGACGACTTCATTGAGCTGAAGTGGTCTGGGTGCCTATAGTGTTCCTTTAACCCCTTAAGGACCAAACTTCTGGAATAAAAGGGTATCATGACATGTCACACATGTCATGTGTCCTTAAGGGGTTAAAAGAAGACAACATAAGGTATTAAACTTGGGGTATTTAGACTCTTTTCATGCGGTTTACCACCAATCTAAGCCAAATTAAAAATAAAATAATTTGTGATGTTTTTGGCTCACATAATTTAAAAATACATGTACTGGGAACTTTAATGGTTACTGCCAAAGAACACCCCAATATGAGTTCAGCAACATCTCCGGAGTACGGCAATACCACAATGTAAAGGTGTGTTGGGTTCTCTAGGGGCTAAAAGACCTTATTTGGAGGGTGCGCATTCCAGTTTTCCAACTTGGAATTTTCACAGCTGGTCATCATGCAGCCATATCCTGTATGGGACATTTTTTGAAGTTGGCCAATGTAATTTACCCCCATCAAACCATATATTTTTGAGAAGTAGAGACACTCTAGGATATTTCAAATGGTGGTATTTTAACACTTTCCATGCACTAATTCTACCACCAGTCTTTGTCAAACTTTTCCTGTTATGTGTTACTGACAAAGAACACCCCAATATGTGTTCAGAAACATCTGAGTACAACAGTATCCCCAATATACAGGTTTTATGGGTTTTTGCAAACTTACAGGGGTCAAATGTAGGACTTTCCTCTTTTCCATGTTTGCACACTGAAATTTTCCAGATTGGTTTGCTGGGCCTATGTTGCCTTTGAGACACTAAATGTGTACGTTGGACACTTTGATGATGCTTGGAGCACACGGGTGGAAAACCCACAAAGTGCTTCTTTTTTTGATATCATTATGTACAAACATATTTCCCCACATTGTGAATACAGGCAGTATTCAGCTATTCTGCTGCAAACCTAGTTAGCGCATCTCAGGGCCAAATCCCGGACCTATAGACAAGACACCTCAACACAGATACAGCAGTGTTTTTTTCAGCCTGTGGACGATTTGCTCAAATGCTCTTCCTGTATACAGGCAGCTCTGGTCGATTGATATGGTAGCCTACCGGTGGCCATTATATCCCAAAACCCAATCCTATACCTCCCGATATTCCAAACAGACAAAGAGGGACACTTTAATTTTAGGGTTGTGGCCTGGGCCATGGCTGTTCTGTATAATATTAGGTGAATAATCTTTTATGCAACTAAAATGTAATTTCAAACAAGAACAATGTATCTTTTTACACAGACTGATTTCCAAGCACATTTTTTGTAGTTTAAAGGACCACTATAGTGCAAGGAAAACATACTTTTTTTCCTGGCACTATAGTGCCCTGAGGGTGCCCCTACCCTCAGGGTCCCCCTCCCGCCGGGCTCTAGGGTGAGGAAGGGGTTAAACTTACCTCTTTCTCCAGCGCTGGGCAGGGAGCTCTCCTCCTCCTCGGCAAGAGCTGTACGCGCATTCAGCCAGTCTCATAGGAAAGCATTATCAATGCTTTCCTACGGACGCTGGCGTCTTCTCACTGTGATTTTCAGTGATTCAATGAGACAGCCACTAGAGGCTGGATTAACCCTAATATAAACATAGCAGTTTGTTTATAGAAAAAAGGGTTAACCCTAGCTGGACCTGGCACCCAGACCACTTCATTAAGCTGAAGTGGTCTGGGTGCCTATAGTGGTCCTTTAACCCCTTAAGGACCAAACTTCTGGAATAAAAGGGAATCATGACATGGGATTTGTTTACTAAATAGGGACAGTTGGGATGTAAGCAAAATGAAGGAGTCTGTTCCCTACTGTGAAATGTAGTGAATTGGAATATTAAATGTAAATAATAGACAAAAATAATTGATTTGATAAAATTCTCCAGTTCAGCCAAGGTGCAGATGGGCTTTTTTAATCTACATTTTGCAAATAAAGCCCAATGTATTTGTACATACATTGTCTATAATGTAGTCTGCTGCTGGGTTCATTGAGAAAGGATTTAGGACAGTCCAAACTAAATACAATCCCTCTTTTTTTTTTCAAGAAAGGGGTCAAGTGCCTACACACCCTTATACTTGTATTTGATTAAACAGTGCAGAGATACAGTCAGCCTCGTGTCTTGCAGTTATGTCATTGATGCCCACACATTTTTCTCATATCCAGTTACATATCTGTGTAGCCTGGAGCATTGCAGACAGACCCCATATCCTCATATCCGTACATTCTAATAGAACAGAGAGAGAGGCCACCCAGCTCTCTTACATACAGCACTAATAATGATGTAATCAGTGAGGTACCCAGCATGGCCAGTGATCGGATAGCACTCCTGCATACAGTTATAGGGCCAGTGATAGGATAGCTCTCCTGCATACAGTTATAGGGCCAGTGATCGGATAGCTCTCCTGCATACAGTTATAGGGCCAGTGATAGGATAGCTCTCCTGCATACAGTTATAGGGCCAGTGATAGGATAGCTCTCCTGCATACAGTTATATGGCCAGTGATAGGATAGCTCTCCTGCATACAGTTATTGATAGGATAGCTCTCCTGCATACAGTTATAGGGCCAGTGATAGGATAGCTCTCCTGCATACAGTTATAGGGCCAGTGATAGGATAGCTCTCCTGCATACAGTTATAGGGCCAGTGATGGGATGGCTCTCCTGCATACAGTTATAGGGCCATAGGATAGCTCTCCTGCATACTGCCAGTGATAGGATAGCTCTCCTGCATAGTTATAGGGCCAGTGATAGGATAGCTCTCCTGCATACAGTTATAGGGCCAGTGATAGGATAGCTCTCCTGCATACAGTTATAGGGCCAGTGATAGGATAGCTCTCCTGCATACAGTTATAGGGCCAGTGATAGGATAGCTCTCCTGCATACAGTTATAGGGCCAGTGATAGGATAGCTCTCCTGCATAGTTATAGGGCCAGTGATAGGATAGCACTCCTGCATACAGTTATAGGGCCAGTGATCGGATAGCTCTCCTGCATACAGTTATAGGGCCAGTGATAGGATAGCTCTCCTGCATACAGTTATAGGGCCAGTGATAGGATAGCTCTCCTGCATACAGTTATTGATAGCATTCCTCTCCTGCATACAGTGTTTAAAAGGATAGCACTCCTGCATACAGTTATAGGGCCAGTGATAGGATAGCTCTCCTGCATACAGTTATTGATAGCATTGCTCTCCTGCATACAGTGTTTGATAGAATAGCTCTCCTGCATACAGTGTTTGATAGAATAGCTCTCCTGCATACAGTTATAGGGCCAGTGATAGGATAGCTCTCCTGCATACAGTTATTGATAGGATAGCTCTCCTGCATACAGTGTTTGATAGGATAGCTCTCCTGCATACAGTTATAGGGCCAGTGATAGGATAGCTCTCCTGCATACAGTTATAGGGCCAGTGATAGGATAGCTCTCCTGCATACAGTTATAGGGCCAGTGATAGGATAGCAATCCTGCATACAGTTATTGATAGCATTGCTCTCCTGCATACAGTGTTTGATAGGATAGCTCTCCTGCATACAGTTATAAGGCCAGTGATAGGATAGCTCTCCTGCATTCAGTGTTTGATAGGATAGCTCTCCTGCATACAGTTATATGGCCAGTGATAGGATAGCTCTCCTGCATACAGTTATTGATAGGATAGCTCTCCTGCATACAGTTATAGGGCCAGTGATAGGATAGCTCTCCTGCATACAGTTATAGGGCCAGTGATAGGATAGCTCTCCTGCATACAGTTATAGGGCCAGTGATAGGATAGCAATCCTGCATACAGTTATTGATAGAATAGCTCTCCTGCATACAGTTATAGGGCCAGTGATAGGATAGCTCTCCTGCATACAGTTATTGTTAGGATAGCTCTCCTGCATACAGTTATTGATAGCATTGCTCTCCTGCATACAGTTATTGATAGCATTGCTCTCCTGCATACAGTGTTTGATAGGATAGCTCTCCTGCATACAGTTATAGGGCCAGTGATAGGATAGCTCTCCTGCATACAGTTATAGGGCCAGTGATAGGATAGCTCTCCTGCATACAGTTATAGGGCCAGTGATAGGATAGCTCTCCTGCATACAGTTATAGGGCCAGTGATAGGATAGCTCTCCTGCATACAGTTATTGATAGGATAGCTCTCCTGCATACAGTTATTGATAGCATTGCTCTCCTGCATACAGTGTTTGATAGGATAGCTCTCCTGCATACAGTTATAGGGCCAGTGATAGGATAGCTCTCCTGCATACAGTTATTGATAGGATAGCTCTCCTGCATACAGTTATAGGGCCACTGATAGGATAGCTCTCCTGCATACAGTTATTGATAGGATAGCTCTCCTGCATACAGTTATAGGGCCACTGATATGATAGCTCCTGCATACAGTTATTGATAGCATTGCTCTCCTGCATACAGTGTTTGATAGGATAGCTCTCCTGCATACAGTTATAGGGTTATTGATAGCATTGCTCTCCTGCATACAGTGTTTGATAGGATAGCTCTCCTGCATACAGTTATAGGGCCAGTGATAGGATAGCTCTCCTGCATACAGTTATTGATAGGATAGCTCTCCTGCATACAGTTATATGGCCAGTGATAGGATAGCTCTCCTGCATACAGTTATTGATAGCATTGCTCTCCTGCATACAGTGTTTGATAGGATAGCTCTCCTGCATACAGTTATAGGGCCAGTGATAGGATAGCTCTCCTGCATAGTTACTGATAGGATAGCTCTCCTGCATACAGTTATAGGGCCACTGATAGGATAGCTCTCCTGCATACAGTTATTGATAGCATTGCTCTCCTGCATACAGTGTTTGATAGAATAGCTCTCCTGCATACAGTTATAGGGCCAGTGATAGGATAGCTCTCCTGCATACAGTTATTGATAGGATAGCTCTCCTGCATACAGTGTTTGATAGGATAGCTCTCCTGCATACAGTTATAGGGCCAGTGATAGGATAGCTCTCCTGCATACAGTTACTGATAGGATAGCTCTCCTGCATACAGTTATAGGGCCAGTGATAGGATAGCTCTCCTGCATACAGCTATAGGGCCAGTGATAGGATAGCTCTCCTGCATACAGTTATAGGGCCAGTGATAGGATAGCACTCCTGCATACAGTTATTGATAGCATTGCTCTCCTGCATACAGTGTTTGATAGGATAGCTCTCCTGCATACAGTTATAGGGCCAGTGATAGGATAGCTCTCCTGCATACAGTTATAGGGCCACTGATAGGATAGCTCTCCTGCATACAGTTATTGATAGCATTGCTCTCCTGCATACAGTGTTTGATAGGATAGCTCTCCTGCATACAGTTATAGGGCCAGTGATAGGATAGCTCTCCTGCATACAGTTATTGCTAGGATAGCTCTCCTGCATACAGTTATAGGGCCAGTGATAGGATAGCTCTCCTGCATACAGTTATTGATAGGATAGCTCTCCTGCATACAGTTATATGGCCAGTGATAGGATAGCTCTCCTGCATACAGTTATTGATAGCATTGCTCTCCTGCATACAGTGTTTGATAGGATAGCTCTCCTGCATACAGTTATAGGGCCAGTGATAGGATAGCTCTCCTGCATACAGTTATTGCTAGGATAGCTCTCCTGCATACAGTTATAGGGCCAGTGATAGGATAGCTCTCCTGCATACAGTTATTGATAGGATAGCTCTCCTGCATACAGTTATATGGCCAGTGATAGGATAGCTCTCCTGCATACAGTTATTGATAGCATTGCTCTCCTGCATACAGTGTTTGATAGGATAGCTCTCCTGCATACAGTTATTGATAGGATAGCTCTCCTGCATACAGTTATAGGGCCAGTGATAAGATAGCTCTCCTGCATACAGTTATAGGGCCACTGATAGGATAGCTCTCCTGCATACAGTGTTTGATAGGATAGCTCTCCTGCATACAGTGTTTGATAGGATAGCTCTCCTGCATACAGTTATAGGGCCAGTGATAGGATAGCTCTCCTGCATACAGTTACTGATAGGATAGCTCTCCTGCATACAGTTATAGGGCCAGTGATAGGATAGCTCTCCTGCATACAGCTATAGGGCCAGTGATAGGATAGCTCTCCTGCATACAGTTATAGGGCCAGTGATAGGATAGCACTCCTGCATACAGTTATTGATAGCATTGCTCTCCTGCATACAGTTATATGGCCAGTGATAGGATAGCTCTCCTGCATACAGTTATTGATAGCATTGCTCTCCTGCATACAGTGTTTGATAGGATAGCTCTCCTGCATACAGTTATAGGGCCAATGATAGGATAGCTCTCCTGCATACAGTGTTTGATAGGATAGCTCTCCTGCATACAGTTATAGGGCCAGTGATAGATAGCTCTCCTGCATACAGTGTTTGATAGGATAGCCTGCATACAGTTATAGCCAGTGATAGATAGGCATACAGTGTTTGATAGGATAGCTCCCTGCATACAGTTATAGGGCCAGTGATAGGATAGCTCTCCTGCATACAGTTATAGGGCCAGTGATAGGATAACCTCCTGCATACAGTTATAGGGCCAGTGATAGGATAGCTCTCCTGCATACAGTGTTTGATAGGATAGCACTCCTGCATACAGTTATAGGGCCAGTGATAGGATAGCTCTCCTGCATACAGTGTTTGATAGGATAGCTCTCCTGCATACAGTGTTTGATAGGATAGCTCTCCTGCATACAGTGTTTGATAGGATAGCTCTCCTGCATATAGTGTTTGATAGGATAGCTCTCCTGCATACAGTGTTTGATAGGATAGCACTCCTGCATACAGTTATAGGGCCAGTGATAGGATAGCTCTCCTGCATACAGTGTTTGATAGGATAGCTCTCCTGCATACAGTGTTTGATAGGATAGCTCTCCTGCATACAGTTGTACAGGGATTTAATCAGCTCTGGGCCTTGCTGCCGCAACGTGAGCTCACATCCTTCTTCCCAGGTCAACAAGCCCCGCCCTCGCTGGTTATCCACACACCTGGCGGAAGGTTTCATTACAATCTATATAACTCACCCCTGTAACAATCCATCGTCTTTCCCGGTGACAAGTGAGCGGTGCGAGTCTTCCACCCTGAGAGCCACACACGGGGGACGCCTCGTCGCTTCCGCTACACGTTCTATTGGCTGGTTGCTCGCTCGGGGCTAAGCGGCGAGTTAATGAAAGCTCGCACGCTATTGGCTCAGCGATCGACGTGACGTCAAAGAAGGGCAAGCGAGAGGGCGACGCCATTTCTCTTGCGGTAAAGTAAAGCTAAGCGACTCCATTTTGTCTTTTTTAAATCAATAGGGAATTCGTGTGTGTGTTCGCAGTGTACGCCAGTGTTGAAATTGATAATACAATCTCCAAGTATTATTCAATACTAAATCCTCTTGGTGTTTTTTTGTTTTGTTTTTTTTTAAAATTATTTTTAATATTACTGCAAAGCATGTAGGGAATTGTAGTCCACAGAAGCAGAAATGACAGTAAGGTGGGCAAGTTTACCTTGATTTCCAGGAAACATAATTTTCACATGATGATGAGCAGCACATGAAAAGTGCTGTCACTTAGTAACAGAAAATAAAATATGCAGGAATCCGCCTGCCTGATTATTGAAGGGGCATCTCTTTAATGTGGGCTGCCACTAGTGATGTCCCGAACGGTTCGCCGTGAACTCATCATTGATTAAACTTTTGTACCTCACAGTCAGCAGACACATTCCAGCCAATCAGCAGCAGACCCTCCCTCCCAGACCCTCCCACCTCCTGGACAGCATCCATTTTACATCCATTGTGAAGCTGCATTCTTAGTGAGCTGTCCATGAGGTGGGAGGGTCTGGGAGGGAGGGTCTGCCGGAGATTGGCTGGGATGTGTCAGCTGACCGGAGTTCGCCACGAACCGTTCGTGGCAAGTTCGCGAACGGTTCGCGACATCGCTAGTTGCCACCTTTCTTGAAAAAAAAAAAGAGGGATTGTATGTAGTTTGGGGAGTTTGGACTGTCCTAAATCCTTTCTCAATGAACCCAGCAGCAGACTGCATTATAGACAATATATATACAAATACATTGGGCTTTATTTGCAAAGTAAGATTACTTGTAGATTAAAAAAGCCCATCTGCACCTTGGCTGAACAGGAGAATTTTATCAAATCAATTATTTCTGTCTATTATTCACATGTAATATTCCAATTCACTACATTTCACAGTTTACCAAATAAACCCCTGTCACTTAGTCACTAAGTCACTAAACTAAAAAAAAAAAAAAATAGTGTGGAGATTTGGAAACCAAACTTAATAGATCTAGTGGAGGCTAAGAGCATCCCCATGTTAACCCTGTCATTGGATGCCGAGAAGGCCTTTGAAAGGGTCAACTAGGTATTTATGGAGAAGACGCTAAAGGTTTTTAATTGTGGGAAATCAATAATAGATGGTATAATGGCTATCTATCCCAACCCATCAGCAAATATTTCAGGTCCTGGATTCTCTACTGAATACTTTCAAATCATAAATGGTACGAGACAGGGCTGCCCTTTGGCACCCTTGCTATATATATATTCTCTCTTGAACCTATACTTCAGAAGCTTAGACTGGATTCCACTATAGAAGGGGTCAGAGTAGATTCTCTGGAATGCAGACTGTCGGCAATGCCGACAATATAATTATCATTATTGCCATTAATATAGCGCCAAAAGATTCTGTAGTGCTTTACAATATTATAAGAGGGGGGAAATAAGTATTGTAACGAAATCCCTTATTTACAGACCATACGAACAAGCCTGTTCGGTTATTTGGAGGATTACAGCGGGATTTCGTGAAAATAGCCATAAAAGCGAATAAACTACCGAACCACCGACCTCCCACTGAGGTCGTGTGGCACCTATTGACCACCCTGACTGTTGCGGTTAACCACAGACTAATTGGGGAATAGCTGGTGGTCCGCTTTCGTTTACCGAACACATGGCAATCGCCATTTTGTATTGTCGAACGCGCAGCAGTAAATGGCGAGGATTCCCTGGAACTGATTTCGGCTTCTTATTTTGTCGAACACCGCTGCTACCTTCTCCCATCCTCGTTCATACGGTGGAAAAATACACAAATGAAGGGGGATACTACGTCATTCATGCGCTGAAAATATGCGAAAGTGACCGACCCCAGATAGCTATAGTATGGAACTTGCAGTTGGCTACAAACACACGAACGGCCTTTGAAAGTCAAACTTCAGTCGACGATTCTGAGAACTGTGTTCGTGGGATCTGAGCGCTATTCGCCTAGAATATGCACTCAGATCCAAGCTATCTGGGAATATGTGGAACTTAAAGTTTATGTTGTGTAAAAAGAAAGTTATATATTTTTATTCTGTTTTGCTGAAATAAGAAAAGCCATGTTTCTTTCTTCCTGGAGATAATTAAGGCTCTCTTTGCTATCTTAAGTTAATTATCTCCAGGATGGAAAAGAGGGAGTGATTTATGTAAAAGGGGAGTGCTTATGCTATAGCCACTGTGATTGGCTACCGTGTTCCTTTTGTCCCAGTCTTCCATCTGGTCCCCTAGGGGAGTGTCCACCAGGTGGGAGACCTGCATAAATACCGGGCGGGTAGCCCACAGTAAATCAGATCGTTTTACCCCTTCATGAAGTCTCGACTCATGTTTGGGGTATTGGGAGTTATAATCACTTCGTTTCAGCTGGATTTCGGGAGAAGCTGCAAGGATCATCGCTGCATGAATAGAAGGATCCTTTACACTGGTGGCAAGAGGGGGGATTTCATCCCGAACGGACGTACCGAATTGAAACAAGTGGTGAATGGCGCATAGATACGAACGCTTGAAACAAAATACGTTGAAGGAACTGCTGGAAGCTCGAGGCATAGTGGCAAGCAACAAACCGAAAGCCACGTTAATAGCCGAACTACTGGAGTGCAATCAAACCGGCAAACCACAAATGGCGAATGCAGAGGAAACAGAGTTCCAGAGGGATGTGAGATGGAGACTCAGCCTGGTAGGACCTAACCCTGCACCAGAGATCGTGGTACAGATCTTGGCACAAGCTACAGAGTCCCAGAATGCCAGGGAAGCACGAGAAGCCAGAGACAGATCACCTCCTGTGGATATATTGTCTCTATCTGGATCTACAATGGGGCGTCAGCGGAAAATCAACTACGCTGCATTTAAAAGCTTTGTGGAAGGTGAGATGGATATTGATAATTACTTGCAAGATTTTGAAAGACAATGTGTGTTAGAAGATTTGGAAAGAGCTAACTGGGCTGCAGTATTAAGTAATAAACTATCAGGTAGAAACATAGAAACATAGAAACATAGAATGTGACGGCAGATAAGAACCATTCGGCCCATCTAGTCTGCCCAATTTTCTAAAAACTTTAATTAGTCCCTAGCCTTATCTTATAGTTAGGATAGCCTTATGCCTATCCCATGCATGCTTAAACTCCTTTACTGTGTTAACCTCTACCACTTCAGCTGGAAGGCTATTCCATGCATCCACTACCCTCTCAGTAAAGTAATACTTCCTGATATTATTTTTAAACCTTTGTCCCTCTAATTTAAGACTATGTCCTCTTGTTGTGGTAGTTTTTCTTCTTTTAAATATAGTCTCCTCCTTTACTGTGTTGATTCCTTTTATATATTTAAATGTTTCTATCATATCCCCCCTGTCTCGTCTTTCCTCCAAGCTATACATGTTAAGATCCTTTAACCTTTCCTGGTAAGTTTTATCCCGCAATCCATGAACCAGTTTAGTAGCCCTTCTCTGAACCCTCTCTAAAGGTATCAATATCCTTCTGAAGATACGGTCTCCAGTACTGTGTACAATACTCCAAGTGAGGTCTCACCAGTGTTCTGTACAATAGCATGAGCACTTCCCTCTTTCTACTGCTAATGCCTCTCCCTATACAACCAAGCATTCTGCTAGCATTTCCTGCTGCTCTATTACATTGTCTGCCTACCTTTAAGTCATCAGAAATAATCACCCCTAAATCCCTTTCCTCATATGTTGAGGTTAGGACTCTATCAAATATTCTGTACTCTGCCCTTGGGTTTTTTACGTCCAAGATGCATTATCTTGCACTTATCCACATTAAATGTCAGTTGCCACAATTCTGACCATTTTTCTAGTTTACCTAAATCATTTGTCATTTGGCTTATCCCTCCTGGAACATCAACCCTGTTACATATCTTAGTATCATCAGCAAAAAGACATACCTTACCATCAAGACCTTCTGCAATATCACTAATAAAATATTAAAGAGAATGGGTCCAAGTACAGATCCCTGAGGTACCCCACTGGTGACAAGTCCAAGCTTCGAATATATTCCATTAACTACCACCCTCTGTTGCCTGTTACTCAGCCACTGCCTTACCCATTCAACAATATTTGAATCCAAACTTAAAGATTGCAGTTTATTGATAAGCCTTCTATGTGCAACAGTGTCAAAAGCCTTACTGAAATCTAGGTAAGCAATGTCTACTGCACCACCCTGATCTATAATTTTAGTTACCCAATCAAAAAAATCAATAAGATTAGTTTGGCATGATCTCCCTGAAGTAAACCCATGTTGTCTCTGATCTTGAAATCCATGTGTTTTTAGATGTTCAACAATCCTATCCTTTAACATGGTTTCCATCACTTGCCCCACTACTGAAGTAAGGCTTACTGGCCTATAGTTGCCCGATTACTCCCCTATTACCTTTCTTGTAAATGGGCACAACATTCGCTAACTTCCAATCTTCTGGGACTACTCCTGTTAACAATGATTGGTTAAATAAATCTGTTAATGGTTTTGCTAGTACACCACTAAGCTCTTTTAATAGCTTTGGGTGTATTCCATCAGGTCCCATTGACTTATTTGTCTTTACTTTTGACAGTTGATATAGAACCTCTTCCTCTGTAAACTCACGTGTAATAAATGACTCATTTATCCTTTTTCTCAACTGAGGTCCCTTTCCTTCATTTTCTTCTGTAAATACAGAACAAAAATATTCATTGAGGCAGTCAGCCTGACCTTTATCCTCTTCTACATACCTTCCTTCTTTTGTTTTTAATCTAACTAATCCTTGTTTTACTTTTCTTTTCTCATTTATGTATCAAAAAAATGTTTTATCCCCCTTTTTTACTGACTGTGCTATTTTCTCTTCTGTGTGTGATTTGGAAGCTCTTATAACTTGCTTAGCCTCT